GGAATTGAACTCACGCAGAAGTGGCTTTAGCTTCTCAGTGCTGTGCTTTAACCCTCTGCGCCACCAGGGAGAGCCAATACACATTCCTTTTAAGTGCTCATAGACACAGAACATCATACACTTTAAGTAGGCACTTAAATTAATGCCAACTTAGTTCACGAGCATAAACCTATGTGTAAAAGCTCAAGTTATAAAACTTCTACCACGGAATCTATAAAACTCCCTAATGTGACTGTGGGGTAGGCAGTGATTATTTAGGACACAGAAAGTACTCACCATAAAAGAAAAATTAATATCAAATAGTTCTGCTAGTTATGTTTAACACTATTAAAAACAAAAAGGCAAGATTAAGGGAAGAAAATGTGACCGAAGAGCCATCATATCAGAGTCGATAAGAGTCATACAGGTTAACAGAACAAAGCTCCTTTGTGTCATTGCAATGTCAGATTTCCATAAAAGCTTGTGTTTTTTGGAAAGTCTGAGCTTGTGTTTGCTTTTGATTTCTATAACGAGAAATAGTTTGCACAGTGTCAGAGAGCCAAAGTCATGCTGAATATGGTCTTTACTTGTCCAACAATTACTTCAATTCTCATTCTGTTGATTAAAGTTGAAGAAAGCAGCTCTATAATTTCATGAAGCATTTTACTGTAGTAAGCTGGGAATTAGGGTCCTTTAACAAAGTACTCTTGTGTTTATGTGATGAGTTGATCATAACTCTGTAAAGTGGGAATTATGAAAAGAGTCTCATTATGAAAAGTTGGTTGTTTGTCTTTGATATGCTTTCACTGCCTTTTGTCTGTGTACTGCTCAACTCTGTTTTTCATTGTCCTTAGCAACCCTTGTTTTCTCATCTAGGGTACTACACAGAGGGCTTCCTGCTTCTGCAACATGCACTGGATCAGGCCATCATGAAGTACCACAATCTAGTTACTGCAGAAACTCTGTTGCACAAAGTCACAGTTTCTGTTCAGAGATTTCCCTATGCAGTGTATTATCACGACTACTTCTTTAACTTGTTTGGTACTTTCATCCCTCTAGTGATATTATTTATCTTCTCTGTGAATCATCTTACCCTTGTTCAATCCATTGTGTGGGAAAAAGAAAACGGACTGAAGGTAACACCACTTATGATAGGTAGAGCTTATGTAGAAAATATTGGGTAAATTTTTATAATGGACTGGATTTTTTGTACTCATTCAGCATTGGTGGATGGTTATATTTTAATTTTAAGTAGCCAAAAAGTGAGCAGTTAATGTTTGCAGATTTTCTAAAATCTTGTTTTTATTGGAATTCTTTTAGTTTTAGTTTTATCTCTAGAAGGAGGCTTCACAAAAACATTAGGTAGAATTTAAATGCTAAATCCCCTAAAATCTCCTTGGATTTAGGTGAACTAAATCCACAGGAATAATTGACTAGATTTGTGGATGATAAAATTTAGATTCAATTTAGATTTAAATTTAGATAAAATTCAGTTTCAAGACTGAATTTGTGGTAGTTTTTTCTACCATTTTCTGATCTCTGATTATTTCTTAAAGTCCCCTCCAGAATTATTTCTTGGTTGAGCTTATGTTGTCTTATGGCTAGCAGTTTATAGCTCAAATACCAGTTATCATTCCTTTTAACAAAGATTCATTTGATATGAATTTATTTTTGATTTATTAATTGCCTACTTTGCACTTCAGACTATCTGTCTCCTTAGATGCCAACATTCTACTGAGGATTTTTGCATCCATGTCTTGTAGTGTTCTTTTTTTATACTTTGTCTAGTTAGGGAATCAGGGTACTCTTTGTCTCATGAGGGCCATTTGAAATGTTACCATCTTAACAATGTCTAGTCTCTGATCCATGAAAATAGTGTGCCTTTCTTCTAATTAGGTTTTCTTCAATTTCTCCCGGCAATGATTTTTAGTTTTCACTTGACATTCTGAGCCCAGTTTCCTCCTGTATAAATTAGACGTGATCCTGTTTATTACTTAACCCATTTTTTGTTGTATCAAAAGTAAATTAGATAATATTTGTGAGAGCATTTTGTGTAATTATACTGCTGTACATGATATTTTATTTTTGTTAACGCTCCCAAGGAGTACCAGCTCATGATAGGACTCAGTAATTGGATGCTCTGGGCCGCCTATTTCTTCACATTCCTCTCTCTGTATGCAATTATCATCCTTTTGATATGCATAATTTTCTTTGCCAAGGTAAGTGTCTCTTTCATTGCAATGTTCTGTAAATACACTTAAAAGACACTATAGAAGCATGGTGTGGTGTGGTCTGTTGGATTTAGGGAATGAAAATGTGCCTTTTATGTGCCACTTTAAAAATCCAGAGCTGCTCAGTCTCATGAGAGTCTCAACTTTCATCCAAATGTGTGAGGCCTCTGCTGTTAATAAGCATAATCTAGTGCCCTGAGCAGTATCTTCAGTTTCACTAGGACTCGGAGCTTTTTTTTTTTTTAAGATTTATTTATGCATACAGAACTGGAGTACAGGCCAGAGGTATAGGGGTGGTGATTGACCAGAGGATTCACCAGAGACAGAGTGGGGAGCAGAACAGGCAGATTGACGAAGTACACTGCTGAGGGGAGCAGCGGGCCAGTCAGGAGAGGTCTGCTGTGCCATGTGGGTCACCTCTGGGACGGGGATTGAACTTGCTGAAGTGGCTTTAGCTTCTTAGTGCTGTGCTTTAACCTGCTGTGCCACCAGGAAGCTTTTATTTTTTAAATAAGATTTATTCATACAGAACTAGGGTACAGGCCAGAGGTGCAGGGAGTGGTGAGAGGATTCACCAGAGACAGTGTAGAGAGCAGAACAGGCAGATTCACTGCTGAGGGGAGCAGCGGGCAGATCAGGAGAGGTCTGCTGTGCCATGTGGGTCACCACCTCCCTGGCCAGGGCTTGCACTCATGCTGAAGGGGCTGAGACCAGGTTCATAGTGCTGTGCCTTAACCCGTTGTGCCACCAGGAGGGCCCCATACAGAGCTTTTTAAAGATAGTTCACTTCTCTTTCATTTTGCTATGATAACACTTAGAAGATGGCTAAAACAACTTCCTGCTTGCTTTCTTAGATGGAACCGAAGTCCGTCATCCAGTACAGTGACCCATCTCTCATCTTCATCTTTTTGCTGTGTTTTGCAATTGCCACAATATTTTTTAGCTTCATGGTTAGCACATTCTTCAATAAAGGTGAGTCTACAATTCCTCCTGGGAAAGATTCGTGGTGGCTGCAAATGTATCGACACATTATCATTTGTTTAATATAGTTTTCTTACCTTTTTAACAGCTGTCAGTGTCTGCCATCCCATATTCTCTTTTATTCCTCTATTGGTTATCTGTGCCTTTTCTTGACCAGTTTCATAACAAGTTTATTAGCACTCAATCAGTGCCAAAAATTATGAATGTGCTGGTTTACAAAACAGATGAGTTTTTATTCTAGAGTGCTTATTTTAGTAAACTCATCTAATAAAGATACATGTGGATTGAACTAACCATATAATTTCCTTCCTATTTGCAGTAAATTCTGCTGTTGCTATTGGATGTTTCCTTTTTCTTGCCACCTACTTTCCAGCTAAATCTGTCTCTTCAAACTATGCACAGATGTCTGTTTCCCAGAAGTTGATTTCCTGTCTCATCTCAAATATTGCAATGTCACTGGGAGCTAGATTCCTAGTCAGAGCAGAACAGGAGAGTAAGTATTTACCTTGTAGGTGTTTCTGTGTCCTTACAGGATAGTCAGGGTTTTAATATTGCTCAATTAACACGAAACTGTTCCTTAAGAATTATACTGCCGGCCCTCCCTGGTGTTGCAGCAGGTTAAAGCGCAGCACTAGGAAGCTTAAGCCACTTCAGCATGAGTTCGATTCCCACCTGCCCGGAGGTGACCACATGGCTCGGCAGACCTCTCCTGACCCGCCCGCTGCTCCCCTCAGCAGTGTACTTCGTCG